AAAAAAAGGAGACAATGTATCCATGCATAGAGATAGCTATGTGTAAAGAAGCAAAATTAGAAATGGGAATTTAATTGGAAATACAGAAATATTACTGTAGCTGCATAAATATTCAGCATTAGAAAGATTTGGAATATCAAACCTCAATGCTTAAATTGATACATCCAAATCAATTTGGTCTAATTCAGTGATTTTTCATTCACGCACGTTGCCTTATAATGGTCTAAATTGATCCAAATTGAATTCAGTCCAGTTTACTGATTCAAGCTAATACTGATGTTTCAATTGCATTGATTTTCCAAAATGACTTGAACGTTCAAATCAAACTGGACTCAGTTGGTAGATCTGTACTTGTCATCATATAAAAAAGGACACTCGCCTTCTTGTCTGATAGACAGTGTCTTCTGGATGGATTCTTCTTTCTATTGACCTGGGCCAAGTCTTCAAAAAGAGAACTGTCCCCTGTCAAAAACATCTTGCCTACTTAGCTCTCATCTTGGGGATTTTCCAAAATTCAGTTCAGATATGATTATCTTCACACATTTCCCTCAGATCATTAAGGTCTGTTTTTAAAAGCCTAATTCAATTATGATGCCTCACTGAATATCGTGTGCTGAATATCGTAAGGCCTGTTCCAGCTACCTGTGGTCTAATGCAAGTTAATTCAAGCAGAGCAAACTGGGGTATGGACTCTATTTCGCTTATGCTCAGAAATATTTGTACAAGTTCATAAAACACACATCCGGTTAATAAAACACAATTATAAGACATGCTATGTCCAGGCAATGAAAGTCTTTCTTTCTTTCTTTCCTTTCTTTTTCTTACTTTCCTTCCTTCCTTCCTTCCTTCCTTCCTTCCTTCCTTCCTTCCTTCCTTCCTTCCTTCCTTCCTTCCTGAGAACCGGTAATAAAAAAATGCTTAAAAAGTAATAAAAAAAAAGTTCCGAAGATCAGCTGAGAGACACGCAATCATTGGAACTTTTTTTATTATTACTTTTTAAGCATTTTTTTTATTGCCGGTTCTCTGGAACCGGTAGTTAAAAATGCTTTAAAAAGTAAAAAAAAAAAAAGTTCTGACAACAGCATTACTCAGCTGATCTTTGGAACTTTTTTTTTACTTTTTTTACTACCGGTTCGGGCGAAGCAGCCCCATTTCACCCCTGGACTAAATGCCAAAGGCGCACAGAATGCTGTTACCTTCCCACCAAAGGTGGTCCCTATTTTTCTACTTGCATTTTTTCAGTGCTTTCGAACTGCTAGGTTGACAGAAGCTGGGACAAGTAACGGGAGCTCACCCTGTTACTAGGGCACTAGGGATTTGAACCGTTGAACTGCCAACCTTTCGATCAACAAGCTCAGTGTTTTAGCCACTGAGCCACCGCGTCCCATCTCTCACCTCCTGTTTAGGATTTCCTTAATCTAAGACCTGTTTTTGTGCACAAAGTATTGAACCTCAGAGCTGTGTTCCATATGATCAAAGAATTACCTAATACATTTACTTGTTTTCCTGAGTGGCTAATCAGCTGCCTCTCAGCTGCCCAGAGGCAGGGCATCTGTTTCATTGTCACTTGTCAAAATAATCCAGTAAGTATTTTGTTGAATAGCATGTTGGGAATTGGACTTACCTCTTCATAATCTAAGCCAGAAATAGGCAAGCTGGTTGGTTCTGAGGATTGCTTGTGGCCAAACTGGTTTTAAAAAAATGGCTTAATGATGGGCCATGCCAAAGATAGCAGTGGGATTACTAAACCAATATTGTCAGGGTGTGAGAGTTCATGAATTGGAATAGACATGGTAACAGGTCAGCCAATGGGGACCGTGACTCAAACAGCTCGGAGCTTGGGCATGGCTTAGCTTGACTGATTTGTATATAAGAGTTGCTTTGTGATATTTCTTCTGTGCTTATATTGCCTCTGTATTATATAGCTTCTGTGTTTCTGGCGTCTGAATTCTGGTTCTGGCTTCTGCTGCATTGGTATTATATACATGCATCATGGTTTATATTATTGTATATAAAGAAGTTTCTTATATAAATGAATCCTGCTGAATTATTTACTTGTGTACTGGTTGGATTGCGGGAAACTATTAAAAAATGTGCATAACACATAGGCACACATACATCAATAGAAGAGACTATTTGCAGCTCGGGGTTAAACTGTGGGGTTCTTTGTTTTCTCCGAGCTTGGTTGCTTTTTCAGAAACATTTCATTACCCAACTAGATAACATCATCAGGGCGAGAAGGTAGTGGGATTTGCTGACAGAGAAAACAACTGAGCTCAGAGAGCATCAAGGATCCCACAAACCGTGTCTTATTTTTTGGGGGGCCCAAATAAGCATCAGGTCTTATTTTCAGGGGATGTCTTACCCACTTACCTTAGGACCACTGCAACCAGGCCTCCCATGCCCCTACACCTGTTGTGCCACTGCCTTACTTCTTTTGTGGCCACTTGTGGTCATTCACGGTCAGACGCCACATGGCTTGTCGCATCAGTACTGCCGCTTGTGGTAGGAGGCTGCATGATGTGTTGTGCACTGGGTGCACAAGTGGCAGCACCGCTGCAATGTGCCACACGGTGTCCTGCCATGAGCGGCAGCACTGCCGTGACATGCCACACGGCATCCAGTCACAAGCAGCTGTAGAAGAAGTCAGGCAGCGGTGCGACAGGTATCAGGGCATGGGAAGCCTGTCTATGGTGATCCTAAGCTAAGTGGGTGCGGGGCACATGGGGCAGCTCCATCCGCCCCACCCCTACCCTAACTTGATTTTTATGCATGTGTCTCGCCCCACCTTGTACAACCAGATGGTGGGCAGGGCTTAACTGGGGCTTATTTAGGGGTAGGGCTTATATTTGGCGCAGGTGTGAAAATCGGACTTGGGCTTGTTTTCAGGGTAGGTCATATTTTTGGGGAAACACAGTACATGGACATATTTTTCCTATGGTTAGATCAAGAGTAAGAGACAGATATTTTCTTTCTTTTACTTTTTCTTTACCATATTGCTTGTGTGCGAGTTGGGCAGCCATTACTGTATTTTTTGGACTATAAGACACACTTTTTTGTCTCCCAAAAGGGGGCAAAAATGTTTCTGAGTTTTATAGACCGAATATTGCCAAAGCCCCACCCACCTGCCAGCCATTTTTTTGGCCTCCACATGTTTTCGGGCCTTTTTTCAGGCCTTTATTTTGGCCCATTTTCAAGGCTTTTTTCATCCTTTTTTTCAAGGCTTTTTTTGGCCTGTTTTGGGGACTTTTTCAGCCCGTTTTGGGGGCTTTTTTCAGCCATTTTTGAGGCTTTTTTTGGCCTGTTTTTTCAGGGAAAAAAGGCTGAAAAAAGCCCTGGAAACAGGGCAAAAGAAGCCTCAAAACCAGTCCCAAAAAAGCCCCCAAAACAGGCTGAAAAAAGCCTTGAAAATGGGCCAAAAAAAGCCCCGGAATCAGGCCAAAAAAAGACTGGAAAAGGCCCGAAAAAAGATACGCCAAAACCTTTTTTTGTTGTTGTTTTCCTCTTCTAAATTTAGGTGCATGTTATCGTCAGGTGCGTCTTATAGTCCGAAAAATATGGTATACAGTAAAATTGTGTCGTAAATAAGTGTTCCCCAGTGCTAGGACAGGTGAGGGGATTATAGGTTTTTACACTGTGATCTTTTAATGTTGTAAGCCATCGGAGTCAATGTGTGTGTGAGTTGGATAGCTATATAAATTTCTTTCATAAAATCTAATCAGTGAAATATGTCACACCCTGCTCTAATTATAACAACAATCTTAATCTAAAGCTCTCTTTATACACAGTAGAACTAAGCAGGAAAAGATGAACTTGGTCATTACTGTGAGCGCCTTTTTTTTCTAATTTTTCCACATTCATGCATTTTGTAATGAGATTTGAAAAAGTCTTATTATTATACTGTGATTGCAAATCCAGAATATGCCCCGCAAAGAGGGATTGTATTTGAGATTAGTCAAACACAGATAATCCTCAATGTATGATCACAATTGAGCCCCAAATTTCTGTTGCTAAGTGAGGCAGTTGTTAAGTGAGTTTTGTCCCATTTTACAACTTTTTGCACAGTTATTAAGTGAATCACTTAAGTTGTTAAGTTAGTAGCAATAGCAATAGCATTTAGACTTATATACCGCTTCATAGTGCTTTTACAGCCGTCTCTAAGCGGTTTAGAGAGTCAGCATGTTGCCCCCAACAATCTGGGTCCTCATTTTACCCACCTTGGAAGGATGGAAGGCTGAGTCAACCTTGAGCCTGGTGAGATTCGATCTGCCAAACTGCTGGCAGCCGGTGGTCAGCAGCCAGTAGCCTGCAGTACTGCACTCTAACCACTGCGCCACCGCGGCTCAGTTGCAGGGTTATTAAGTGAATCACGCTTCCCCGTTGACTTTGCTTGTCAGAAAGTCACAAAAGGTGATCATAGGACACCCTTCCTGTCATAAATATGTGTCAGTTGCCAAGCATCTGAATTTTGATCACGACCGTGCAATGGTTGTAAGTGTGAAAAACAGTCATAAGTCACTTTTTCTCAGTGCCGTTGTAACTTTGAATGGTCACTAAATGAACTGTTGTAAGTCGAGGACTACCTTGTAATAAGAGTTCCGCTCCATATCAATATTTTGCTAAGTGCAAAAAAAAAAAAAACCTATTTAGGATCTGAGGACCTACGGAAAGGGACTCCTGTGTCTGGTGACCTTCTCCTCCTAGCCAGTCTAGTTCTGTGCTAAAATGTGTGAAAAATAGCTTATTATTAAATTCTCATATCCAGTGGAAAGCAAATACAGAGCTAATATCCATCTGCCATCCTCTTCTCTCCTCTAATGTCAAAATGTAGGTTGTAAATTCTCACAGGAGGGACCGATCTAGTTTTTCTTTTTTCTTCCTGCTTATGTTCCTCCGTTCAGAATATTGCACACTGATCACTTAATAAGCACACTGATAGCACTAATGATGCTAATAACAACAGCCTGATTAATCCTTATCTCTTCTGCCTTCCTTTCCAGTGAAAGTTAGCGGCTGTTCGGAGAGCAAAGGAACGCCGTACGAAAGTGCCAACTTGGACTTCAAGGTGAGGAACGGCAGAGCTCTCTACCCCACCAAACAGGTGCACACACCTTTGGAGCAGACAAAAGTTACGGTAATGACTTGGGAGGTTCTAGAAAGATGGGAAACTTTGGTCAGGTTACTGGTGATCTGTCCCCGTCTACACACACACACAAACACAGCCAGCCGAGGGTTAAGAAAGTACTTGGCACGCACACAGGTCGTTATCTCAAACTTGGCAACAATATAAGCACCGTCTGCCAAGAGTTTTACTGCAACAGATAACATAAAATTACATATGCATTGCAAATAGTCCAGCAAAACAATATCCCTTTGGCAGCTTCAGACGTTGTTCAAGTGACTAGCCAGAGTTAGTTTTTGTTCGTCACAGATTTTTACCAGCCACCACCCTCTCTTATATAGTCTCTGGGGTGTGGTCCAGTGACTCAGTTCTAATCCCTAGCACGCCTCCTTAATTGCTGCAACCGTTTATCACGCCTTCGTTGGTGTGCATCCAGGAACAACGGCTCTCCTTCCTCGCCCTCATCAGAGACACCTGGCTCCTGGCCAATCTCCCCTTCCTCGGCCGGCACCTGAGGCAGTGCCAGAGGGGAGGGGCCTGGAGAGGGAGGCCTGGCTGACTCCTCTCCCTCATGTTCGGAGCCTTCTTCCTCCGATGAGATAGGCTCAGAGGGCGGGGCCACAACAACTGGTGGGAGAGAAATCACAACCAAAGGGACACAAAGTTAGAAAAAAACAAAAAGCCTGGCTGGCTTTTCTAGAAAAGCCAGCCAGGCATTGTCTACGGATGATCCCCGGCGTATGTCCACAATAATAGCAATAGCGCTTAGACTTATACACTGCTTCACAGGGCTTTACTGTGCTCTGTAAGCGGTTTACTGAGTCAGCCTATTGCCCCTTAACAATCTGGGTGCTCATTTTACCGACCTCGAAAGGATGGACGGCTGAGTCAAGATTGAGCTGGTGAGACTCGAACTGCCGAATTGCCGGCAGTCGGCAGAAATAGCCTGCAGTACTGCATTCTGACCACTGCGCCCCCAGAGCTCTAAGAACCAGTGTTCGCACTGCTAAGAATAAAAAGAAGAATTTTATGAGCGTTTTGTCGTTGTTGTTAAATGAATCACTGCAGTCACTAAGTGAATCCATCTTCCCCCTTTGACTTTGTTTGTTCGAAGCCTGCTGGAGAGATCGCACATGGGGAATCACATGACCCAGGACTTTACAACCATGTTAAGTACATGTCAGTTGCCAATCGCCCTAATTTTGATCACATGATTATGGGGATGGTACGATGATTTCAAGTCCGAAGACTGGTTGTACATCCCTTTTTTAGTGCCATTGTTACTCTGAATGGTCACGAAATGAATGGTTGTAAGTCAAGGACTACCTGTAGACAAAGCCTTCAGAATCAAAATTCTCTTTTGTTTCTGTTGGTCTTCTATTGTTTTGCCTTTTTATTATGTAAAGCACCCAGAGGCGTCTGGAGTTGGATATTCTTTAAATCAAAGCCAATAAAAATAAAAGACATAAATTGCACTAATCAAAAAGTGGGAGCATGTATCCTGCTTTAGGGAGGAACTCCCCTATCTTATTAGTCCACAGTCTGGCTGATTAGCGGGACAGAGCATTCCCCAATAAACATTTAACAGAATAACAGAGTTGGAAGGGACCTTGGAGGTCTTCTAGTCCAACTCCCTGCTCAGGAAATCTTATACCCATGATGGCGAACCTATGGCATGTGTGCCACAGGTGGCACGTGGAGCCATATCTGTGGGCACAAGAGCGTTGCCCTAGCTCACCTCCAGCGCACATGCGGGTGCCGGCTGGCTGATTTTCAGGCCTTCTAGGCCCACCAAAAGTCGGGAAATGGGCTGTTTCTGGCCTCCGGGGGGTAGGAGAGGCCGTTTTCGCCCTCCCCGGGCTCCAAGAAAGCCTCTGGAGCTCGGGGAGAGTGAAAAACGGGACTACCGGGCCCATCAGTAAACTTTTTGCCATCATGTGCCAAAAATGGGAGGGAGCACAGGCGGGTTGTGGTGCATGCCTGCGGGGGCATGGGGCATTGAATTATGGGCACATGCACAATCCCCCCATGTTCTCCCCCCCCTTTTATTTATTTATTTATTTATTAGTTCGATTTATATTCCGCCCTTCTCCGGAGACTCAGGGCGGCTTACAATACGTTAAGCAATAGCCTTCATACTTTTGTCTATACCTGCTTAGTAGGGCTTTCGCCCCCCCCCTCCCAGCAGTGTTCTTTTTTATACAAAGTCAGCTTATTGCCCCCACAATCCAGGTCCTCATTTTACCTACCTCGAAAGGATGGAAGGCTGAGTCAACCTTGAGCCTGGTGAGATTTGAACTTGCAGTAATGGCAGGCAGCTGGTGCTATCTAACAGCACTTTAGTCTGCTGCACCACCAAGGCTCTTTTCTTTTGGCACGCGACAGCAAAAAGGTTAGCCATCACTGCCTTACACCATTTCAGACAAATGGTTTTCTAATCTCTTCTTAAACTACCTCCAGTGATAGAGCACCCGTAACCATTGCAGCATCTCCATAGTCACATGATCACAATTCAGGTGTTTGGCAGCCAACATGCATTGAAAAAGATTGCAACATCCTGGGATCCCCATTTGTGACCTTCCCAGCAAGTTTCCAACGAGCAAAGTCTATGAGGAAAGCCAGTGCTTAACAACCAAGTGTTTCACTTAACAATTGTGGCAATTAAAGGCTGTAAAATCAGGCACAACTCATTTACCTTGACAACTCACAGCTCACAACCACCTTGAGAGCTGTGGTGGCAAACTGATTAGAATGCAGTATTGCAAGCTAATTTCTGCTGACAGCCAGCAGTTCGATTCTCATTGGCTCAAGGTTGACTCAGCCTTCCATCCTTTCAAGGTCAGTAAAATGAGGACCCAGATTGTTGGAGGCAATATGTAAACTGCTTAGAGAGGGCTGTAAAGCACTGTGAAGCGGTATATAAGTGCTATTGCTGTTTCCTTGCTTAGCAACAGAAATTCTGGTCCCAATTCTGGTTGTACTTTTCACACGTAAAATTCAGATACAACCACCAGCAGCAACAGATACTCTTGAAGCAAAATAGAGATGGCCAGTGGTAGCATCATCTTTTATGGCAATATAATCTTTCCACTTGCTCAAGAGTGGGTAGATAGCAATTGAACTAAGCTGAAGGAAACCTCCCTTGTCTGGCAGAGTGCAAAGGATAGTTGTAGGAGGTGACTTCATAAATTATTTTCAATAAAAGTGTGGGAGTGAATTGTTTTATGCCAGCGCATCTACATTAAATTACGACCTCATTCAGGGATAATGTATTCCAATGAGAATCCTACGACTGTAGCTTTTCGTTCCTGGGTATCTGTGAAAACACGGAGGCTGCCATCATATCGTATCGTGGCCCTATCCTTTTACTGGAAATGGGATGGTGGAGATTCAGAAAAGATAAAGATAAGATAAAAATACTGTCAGGGTTCCAAATAACATGCCCATAGCAAACAGAACTCGAAAGCAGGTAGATTCCTTAAAGAACAGTTTTATTGGATATATCATACTAGCTGGACGCCCTTGCTTCACTACGAAACTATGTGATCGGACTTGATAAATTGACCCCTAAAGCCTGAAACTTAATGTAGAATGTGTAATTCCGTAGCATCAGAGCATGTTAATATAAGGCAACTGGCAGTTGGAACAGAGGGGGAGGGGGAGTAGAATGCCCCAGCCCATAGGCCAGATGAGTCATGCGCTGGCCACGCCCACACCCGGTTTAGCGAAGGGGTAGCATCAGAGGTGTTAATCTAAGGCAACTGGCAGTTGGAACGGAGTTCTTTTCAGGTGGGGCAGGGGAGTAGAACGTCTAACTCCTTAGCATTAGAGCATGTGAATATAATACTGTAGATATAATACTAATGATCTGTTGGTCATTTCGAAAAATCCTTCTTAGTGGGCACCTAGAAGCCAAGAGGAACATATGTGTCAAATTTCAAGTTTGTAGGCTTTACGGTTCTGGAGATTTCTTGATGAGTGAGTGGTATTTCGCTTTTATATATATAGATTGGCACAGATTGGTGAAAACTGACTAACGATTCCTGTGGTTTTCACCTAATTAAAAGTAAATGTTTTCCCCCTTTTCCCAAACAATCAGTCACATGGTCCAATCAAAGCTCTGTCTGGTTGCTTGGTAATTTCACTCCTCCTCTCTCCAGCCACCTGTGGGAATGTCCTTGGTTCCAGTGGTGGGATTCAAATAATTTAACAACCGGTTCTCTGCCCTAATGACCAGCTGAGTAGGTGTGGCTTGGTGGTCATGTGACCGTGTGGGTGTGGCCAACTCAACGTCACTCAGGTCGATGGGCGCTTCGCCTTAGCTGTTACAATGTAATAAGGGTTAACCAGAGAGGCAGTTTCTGTAAGCATAGCAATAAAGATTAGGCTAGAAACAACACCAGAATGTTTCCTTCCTGCCTTCCTTACAGGATTAGCCCTTAAAATGGAAAAAAACAAAATAAGATTTCTTCCAACAACCGGTTCTCCGAACTGTTTAGAAAGTTAACAACCGGTTCTCCCGAATAGGTGCGAACTGGCTGGATCCCACAACTGCTTGGTTCCCAGAGGAAACTATTTTGTTTTGGCTACAAATCCCCCCCAGCTATCTCTATTCCCCCCTCCCTAATCCTCATCTCCATTGTGGCAACAATGAAGCCCCAAAGATGGCCTCAGTCAGGCCAGCTTCAGAATTGACAAATACGTCTTCTCAGAGGAGATATGTAAATAATGGAATTTCCTACATACATGTATGCCAGGTGGATAGAAAACCAGAGAGCTTTATGTTAAAGGTGAATTGGATAATTCAAGGAATGTAAGTCTAGTAGTGAAAAACATAATGTTGCATTTCAACTTGATGATTTCATCTGTAAGATTTAATGAGAATTCTCTTCTCTTATTCACTAAATGAATAGAGGCTGACATAATCTCTACATCATGGACAGTTAAACACAACATCCTTCTGCAAATTTAAATGCCTATGTTATATGCCTTTGTTTGTAGATTCTGAATAA